AGGGAGGGAGATGGAGTGATTCCTAAAGGGTGGGGTGGAACTGAATGTGGGTAGGGTTATGTAAATGATGGAAGGAGAGGCAGGGAAAGGAGTGGGAGGGTGGGATTGGAGGCTGAGTTATGTAAACAAAGGACCAGGGCTATGGGAGGGAGGTGGGGTTACACAAAATAGTCAGGAATGAAAATGGAGGGGGGGAGGGCTGGACAGGGATGCCTCCACTCTCTCCTCTCCCTCCCACCCTCCAAGACTGCAGGTCTTTCTGCATACTTTTCTCCTTGCTGTTTTTTTGTTTTTTGTTGTTTTTTTTTTTTTTTTTTACAATGAGTGTGCCAAAAATGCAAAACTCACCACTTGGAGATAGCCTGAAACCACAGCTTAATTATTAATGCATGCTTAATAACATGTGAATTAATGGCTTCCCCAGGCCTAATTAGGATAATTAAGCTATGGTTTAGGGCCTTGTGGTAATCTTTGGGGAGGGACGGGACTGCCGTGGCTCCTTGACCAGAGGCACACAGGGGCCCTGCCATGCTCGGTCCGTGAATATGGCAGCTGCCCACAATCTGCCTGCAAAATCAGCCACCCACGTCTAAGTTCGGTAGACCCCTAGCTATAAGATTCATGTTGCAAAGCCAAATAGTCAAAAAGCTACAAAGGATAAAAATTAAAGATACCTATAAAACCACCACAATTTGCCCCACCCTTGTGCATATGCATTACGATACAGTTTTAGCTACATTATAACAGACTTCTTCCCCCCTCCGTAGGACCCCTGCCTCATTCAATACACAAAGTGTACGTTGCTCCTTTAATGATCAGCTATTCAATGTTCTGTTATCCTACCTATGACTGTTTGGTTAGCTGACCTAATGCCCTACTTGTACTCTGTCCTGTGAAAGAACTATTAGTTTTCTCGTTCTTTGTCTATAGCTCTTGCAACTAAATTACTTCACAAATATTAATGCACTTATTATCACAACAACTCTGTGAGATAAAGGGGTGGAATTCCCATTTTATAAGGAGAAAGACTGCAGTTAAAAATATCCATAAAATTTGGGGGTGCAGTTTGACACACCTAAAACCTCGATTTTTTTTTTTTTAAGAGAAGTAATCATCATATAGAATTTCATATATTCAAGTCAATTCCTGTTTACTTCACCTGCAGTTGCTAGTGCTCACTCCTTGTGCAAATTAGACATCAGCATATCAGACCTGGTACCCAGAAAACAAGGAGGAACACTTACAAAAAGTTGGGTTTAGGCTATTTGACTAGTTGTATAAGCTGCAGCAGAGAGAAGGCTTCTGTCCAACACTCCAGTGCAGTACTCAACTGCCTTCAGCCATGATGCCAGCCTCTCTTCCTGAAATCCCGATTCATTCCCCAAACATCCTCCAACTTCTGCAACAAATGAGGGAGAGGGTCCTAAAAAGAGAATAAAACCTGCAAACAAACAAACCACATTCCTTCAGTACAGACAACTTTTCCTAGAGCAGATCCACAGCAGCACAGTGAGCAAGGGAGGCAGGAGTTTGGCTTTTTTTTGGGGGGGGGGGGGGGGGGGGGGGGGGGGGGGGGGGGGG